AATAAAGTTCTAGAGTATTCTGTTGAAATGTTTTAGGAATTGTATTATTTTTAATTTGTTGCGTTTTGAGATATCTAGCATAAATTTTTTTAAGAATATATTATAAAATGAACTATTACTTTGATATTATGGCTTATTCTCGGAGCCACATCTGCAAAGCCGTAAATCTTTTAAACTATTACCATTTGTTTACAAAAATAAATGTTTTATAATATAAATTTTTTAAATTGTCAAAATTTTGAAAGTTAATTACAAATTATATATTTTATTAGTATATTCTTATTTTTTATATCTTTTCCTAGTGCTTGGTTTAATTAATTGTTTGTTAGATTTGTCGAAACAACTTGCATCAAAATGTAAAGAATACATTCGTGAATCATCGGAGATATTATATAACTCGATTTGGTACCATAGGGGTCCCTAGATCCACCATCGCCGTGGCCCATATAGCCACGGCTCTGATAGCTACAAAAAAAGTTTTTTTTAATGTGAAGATTTTAGAAAATAAAATAACTAAGTATAGTTAGCTATTTTAGTAAAATTTAATAGTAAAATTTTTAAAGAATTTCTAGAATGTTTCCAATGACGTCATGTACTAATACTTTTATGAATTAAACGCACTTGAATAAATTATCAAGTCTGTATAATGCGCCTGAAAATTGCGTTTATTTTACAGACTCCAAATACCGCAGAAAATGGAGAAGACAAGCTTTGACTAAAACAACAAGATTTGTTTTTCTTGGTATACATTTATTAATTAGTTTTAATGAAAAAAAATTTGCTCAGACTTTTTTTAAACATTCTCTTTAATATGAACACAACATGTCTCGAGACTTGGTAGTCCCTTTAACTTTATAAATTAATTAAAATTTTGAATGAATTGACCTTGTTATGCAATAAAAGCGCTATGTAATAAAAGCGCTATGTAATAAATCTTTTAAGTCTATATAAAAGAAACATACAAATTATTATTGTTTATTATATGTTTATTATTGTTTATTGGAATGCAAGAAGCAAACTTGAGTCAAGTTTGACTAAACATTGTAAGCAATAGTGACAAAATATGGGCTTTCCCCTCAAAAATTACTCTGCCGCTATTTGTTAAACAATCATTAGATGTAAGTTGTTACTTTATTTAAAAAGGGTTTCTCATAATATTATAAAAACATTAGTAAAGATTAACAATTCAAAGTTATTTATTCCAAACGTAATTTAGATAATCTAAGCGTTATAGTTTATTATTTATTTTAGTTAAGTTTTAATTTTTTTTTTTTATTTAAGTTTAAGTAAAGTTATTTATTTTTTGTTATTTTTTTATGAAGATTTATTTGATTTTTTAACGATAAGTTTTTTTTAAAGTTTCTTCATAGCTAAGATAATTTTTTCAGCGTGTTTTTAAAATGCATACAACTTTTCAAAACATATTAATAGCTGTGGTCAAGTTTATAAATCAAATAGTATTTGCATGGTCATATTATGTTGTGAAATCGTATTCCTGGCCAAGCCTGTGTGTGTATATATATATATATATATATATATATATATATATATATATATATATATATATATATATATATATATATATATATATATATATATATATATATATATGTATATATATTTATATATATATATATATATATATATATATATATATATATATATATATATATATATATATATATATATATATATATATATATATATATATATATATATATATTAATATATATATATATATATGCATATATATATATATATGTATAATATATATACAGTATTGGACAAAACATTTGCAACCAACATCGAACAATGCTAAAAAGTGTTCCTAATTTTACATGTCATAAAAACGAAACTATACTACCACAGCAAACAGTTCAGTAGTCTGGAGTCACAGCATGCCGTGACATGGGCAATCAGCTAACAGAAGACAGCACACAGGCAGAATTTTTTTGACAAGCGCCATTTTGCAGCGGAAAAATCAAGTGCAACTTTTTTGGTTTGTTTCATTTTGTTAAGTTTGGTCTGTGTCATTGTCACGGAAGTTTTTTAATAATTAAAGGAAGTATCCAGAAGTTTCCAGAAGAAGCATCTGGAAGCATCCAGAAACATTCAGAAGCATCCAGATGCATCCAGAAGCTTCCAGAAGCATCAAAAAGAAGCATCTAGAATCAAGAACAGGTTCACACAGGTTCATTTTACTAATATGTAAACCAACATGAAATTCCAAAAAACCAACATGACATGTAAACCGATGTGAAATTCAGTTAGTATATGGAAGTCAATCAGTCAGTATTATCAAGACAGTTTATCGAAGTGAGTTTTATCAAAGTGTTTTATTGAAGAACATCAATACAAGAAGTGAAAGAAAACAAGTGTTTCATTACATCAATACAGTACACATCTAACCAAGACGTTGTGTTCTACAGAACATTATTTTATCATCACAAAGTAAATGTAACATGGTAAGCTTTGAGAAGATATTTGATTATTTATTTTTATAAGTTTTATGACTTCAAGTGCAAAAATGGCTCCTGACAATCTTTGATTGGACTAAGAAAGAAAATTATTGGCGATTACGTAAGAGAAATGTCAAAAAGTATTTATGATAAATATCGCATTAAAAAAGGGACCATATCAAGACTCTGTTCCAAATATCGTTCTACAGGGAAGTTGGTAGCAGATAACAAAGGTCAGATCTGTCAAGAAGGATCCCTGGATATCATCAGTCGAGATACAAAAAGCAATTAAAGCTGCCTTTATCGGACCAAACAATTAGACAACATGCTGTTGAAGCCGGATTGTTTTCTCGACGCCCTGCAAAGAAACTGCTGATTTCACTAAAGAACCAGAAGAAAAGACTCCTGTTTGCTACATCTCATATTGACTGGAATGTGCAGAAATGCCGAACTGTCCTGTTCAGTGAAGAATCGAAGTTCAACATCATTGGGAGCGATGGTATTTGTCGTGTACGTTGACTGGCCCGAAAAACGCCTTTATTTACGTTACTGCCATAAGACCTTGAAGCATGGTGTAGGCAATGTAATGGTCTGGGGGTGTTTTTCTGCTAATGGTCTAGGTCGAATACACTAAATCAATGGAATAATTGACCGTTTCATGTATAAAAATATCCTAAAAGATGTTATGTTACCTCATGCTGAATGGAATATGCCAATAAAATGGGTTTTTCAGCAAGACAACAATCCGAAACACACTGCAAAAGTAGTCAAGCAGTGGTTTTAAGACAACCACCTATTGGTGACGGATTGGCCGCCTCAATATCCAGATCTCAACCCTATCAAGAACCTGTGGGAGATCGTCAACCGCAGAATTAATCGTTAAGGTGTTTGTAATAAGGGTCAGCTGTTTGAACAAATCCAAAAGGCCTGGGCAGCGATTCCACAAAGTTTCGTTGATCACCTGATTGAATCTATGCCTCAAGATGCAAGGCTGTAATCGACAACAAAGGATTTGCCACTAAATTTTGATAGCGAAATACAGCTTGGTCAATATTTTGTGTATATATATATATATATATATATAATATATATATATATATATATATATATATATATATATATATATATATATATATATATATATATATATAATATATATAAATATATATGTGTATATATATAAATATATATACACATATATATTTATAAATATACACATATGAATAAATATATCTGTATATATATATATATATATATGTATATAAACATATATATTTATATATATATTATATATATATATATACATACACATATGTGTATATATATATATATTTATATATATATATATATTTGTATATATATTTTTTTAATGATTTATACCCTTTTAGTAATAACGATACAAAATATAAAGTCAATAACCAAATATAATCTACTAGAAACAACGGTGTATATATATGTGTATATATATATATATATATATATATATATATATATATATATACATATATATATATATATATATATATATGTATATATATATATATATATATATATATGTATATTTATATATATATGTATATATATATATATATATATATATATATATATATGTATATACATATATGTATATATATATATATATATATATATATATATATATATATATATATATATATATATATATATATATATGTATATTTATAGTATATATGTATATTTATATATATATGTATATTTATATATATATATATATATATATATATATATATGTATATTTATATATATATATATGTATATATATATATATATATATATATATATATATATATATATATATATATATATATATATGTTTATATATATATATATTTTATTGTAGATGATGATTCTGATAGTGACTCTGAGGAAGAAATAACAATAAAAGTTATTGGTAGCAAGTTAGATGATTTAACAATAAGTAACAATCTAGTGAATAATCATGGAGGTGCACTTCAAAAGGCAATTAGTGATTATGTTGAACGTAAAAGCCAAACTAATGTTGAAAAAAAAAACAAGGAAAGCAAAGAACAAAGTCTTAAATTAATCAATGAAAAAGCTCAGCTCTTTAGAATTACATCAAATGCTATGATGACAGTATGTTTGTTTTTGTGCTAATCGAATATGTGATTTTGTTTTTTTAAGATTATTATTGTAGTTTTATTTATTAATTAATGTTATTAATTATTAACAATAAAAAGCATATTTAGATAGGCATTCTGAAATCTTATTTAGGGAGTGCTTCATATTTTACCTAGATAGTCAATGTATGCACTACCTATTTCAGTATGACATCAGACTGCATATCAAAGTATGCTTTTATATATATATACATATACAAAAGATATGTATGTATGGGTAGTTTAAAAAGGGTAGTTTAAAAACAAAATTTTTGAAAAATATCTGCAGTTTGTACCTTAATGTGTTCTACATGATAAAATAGTACTGAGTTTAAAAAGTCTTACTTTATTTCTTAAAATAAAAAAAATGTTTAGTGAAATAAAATGTCTAAAGACCCTTGAGCATTTAATTGGTCATTAATATTAATAAAAAAAAAAGTTTTTCTAAAGCATGCCTTGCTGGGTCTTAATTATAACTAAAAAACTTTGTAAAAACACAAATTTTTTATTTTAAAAAATTTTTTATTAAAAAAAAAAACTTATTTAAAAAAATTTTTTATTTTAAAAATTTCATTTTTTTAAGGCAGTAAAGTCTAAAATAATATATTTTTTTTTATAAAATGATGATTGTTTTTGAAATTTTTATATAATTTGGCTTGATTTTAAGCCCAGCTAGACATACTTTTATAAATTTTTTAAACCACTCTATTTGTATGTATATATGGTATATGGTATATATGATATACGTATATGTATGTATGGTTTAAAAAAATATACTTTATGTGAATTTAATTACATTTTAATAAACAACTTTTTGTTTGATAATTTAAAAAAAGATATTTTAGTAAGTATAAACTTAGTTAAAAATATGTATATAGATATAAAGTAGTTTACAAAGTAAGTAGACATTAGTTTAAAATATAAATGACAACCTAATAATCAAAAATTTGCTAATAACTTAAAATAATCAAATATTTGCTAAAATATAAATGACAACCTTTATAATCAAAAATTTGCTAAAAACCAAATTAAAAAAAAAAAAACTTATGAAACTACAGTTAGTTTCATAAAGTCCTGATAATTATCTTACAATTACTCATAGATTTGATGAGCATGATTCTGTATTAAATGTTAAATGCAGCTGTCTAATTCATAGTTGAATTTTTCTCAATAATTTTTTTTTTTGCATAGGCTTTAAAATGAATTTTTTATTTAATAGCTAGTGATGAAATAGAGATGCATATTAGATGAGATAGTGATGAAATAGAAATGCATATTAATTAATTATACTGTATTTAAATTTACAGTTTTGATAACTTAGTTTTTTACTGAATTTTGTATGCTGTTCACTTTACATTTAGATGTGTTCTTGTGTTTTTGTGTTCTAGAAATTCTTTTTTACTTGATTTTTTAAGTTGAGTTATGCTAGTATAAAAATTAGGCTGGCTCAAAAAAGAGAGTAATTAGCATAAATTTAATGTTTGTAACATTTATAATATAAAGGTGAACTTATTTTATTTCATTTGTGATTTTAGTGAATATTATTATATATATATATATGTGTGTATATATATATATATATATATATATATATATATATATATATATATATATATATATATATATATATATATATATATATTATATATATATATTATATATATATATATATATATATATATATATATATATATATATATATATATATATATATATATAATAATTACCATAAACATTAACCATAGTTAATATAAATATTATTCCTGGTCATGGTTAGAGTCACAACTGATCCTATATTGAGGCAGGTAAAGTTCTTTAGTTGTGGTAGAAAAAACTTGCCTGATAAACCGAGAACTTTGGTATAGAGCCCTGATGTCATTTTAATAATTTCTATTTGACAATAATAAATATTATACAGTTTGTGAATTTTCATTTAATCCTAAATATGCATAACAGACATGAAAATAATTATCTTTTTTTTTTCTCTTATTTAATTTTTTTAATTCTATGGCCTCTAATTTTAAATTTATTTTTATGGCCTCTATAATATAGTTATTTGTATTTCCTCTTATATATTTATTTTTATCCATAAGACCTCAGAATTATAAAATTTTTAAAATTATTTTTTGGTTATCATTTAGAAAAATTTCTTAAAACATATCTGAGTTTTATCCTTAAAATCAATAAATTTTTTCTGTATTTTTAGTTAGAAAATATAGCCAGATTTTAAATGTTCTTTGCTGCTTTGTTTGGTTCAATAATTAAGTTTATCAAGTCATGTTATTTAAGTTAAAAATTTTGTTTATTGCATTATTTTTTATCTTATTTTTATATTTTTTCATGTTTTTTTTTTTTGTACAATGTTAAAAAATAAAAATTTAGTTTATCAATTCATGTTTTTTTTTTTTTTTTTTGGTACGATAAGATAAAAAATAAAAAATAATTAAAACAACTTTTAAAGATGAAAATCTTTTTTTGTACATTAATTGATTAATATGCTCAAAATACTCAAATGCTGAAAATCTGGAATTTGAACAAGCTGCTACTAGCAGTTAAAAATATAAAGTTTAGCAGTGAACTATCTAGCTGTGCTATTCAAGCTCAGAAAATAAGTCTATGACCTTTGGTTATGTTACCAAGCACAAAATTTACCCAAATACCATATACACCACCAGATTTTGTTGTAAATATTAAATTTAGCATATTCAAGGTAAAACCATCAGCCAGTTCATTCATTTATCATTGAATTGGAAAGTTGGTATGTTAATATGTTGATAGGTTAAAGAATCACAACTTTTAACTCTTTCACACCTTTATATAATTTTTGTAAACATTAAAAAAGTACATGCTATACTGAAAATTATATAATAAGGATAAAAGGCATCATATTTACACCCCATAACTATATATTTTCAAAAAGATAAATAAATACAGATCGTCTCTTTTTTTAAAAAAATGAAATACCAATGATGGCGGATATAAAGATCAGGTGACTTTTGCTATTTTTTTAATTTTTTTTTTACATAAAAAAAAATGTCTGACTTTGTCTTAAAAAAAAAGTTGATAAAATACTAACTTTAAAACTACCAGTGGCGCATTCTGTAAGGAAAATAGATAAAAATAGATGAATTTCAATGTTTACATTTCCGTCGCATGCGCACTAGGTGGCAGGAATAAAAACCGATTTGCAAACATTGAGAACGTTTATTAAACAAACATTGATATAATTAATCTCCTTGCTAACTTAATTAGATTAAAGTTTTTTTTTAAATTCTTAAAATATAATGCCTGACAGTTGTTGTGCTATAGGGTGTATGAATAAAAGGATAAAAGGCGATAAAAACTTGAGTTTTTACCGCATTCCTTTTGGAAATACAGAAACATCAAAAAACAGAAGAGTTTTATGGTTGCAAGCCTTTAAACGTAAAAACTGGCCAATAAGTATGATTGATAACGCAAGATTATGTAGTAAACATTTTATTTCAGGTATTTAATTTTTTTTTTCTTTTGATAACTAGAAGTTTTTATAATATTATTATTATCTTTGTTTTTATTTAGTTTAACATAAGTTCATTATTTTAATAAAATAAATAAGGTTTTAATTTTTTTTCTTCTCTATTTTTAGGCAAAAAATCAGACAATCCTATTAGTCCTGACTATGTTCCATCTGTTTTTTTATACAGACAGCAATCTTTTTCAAAAAAACATCAAAGTATTGAAAGATTTGAAAGAAGTTGTAAAAGAACAAAAAAAAATACTGAAGATAATTTATCTCAAACAAAAGCTGAAAATGAACAGATGTCAGTTAATATGGATGCAGTAACATCAGTCGACCCTTTCAAATTAAATCAAGGTAAATAAGTTTTAATTTAATTTTAAGATTTTACTTTCGTTCTTTGATAAAATAAATGGTTACATAATTATGTTTTTAGAATCTCAGACTGATGATGTTAATTTTGTTGCTGAGCTACATTCTAAAGTCAAAACTTTGAGTAAAAATAATGTTGAATTAAAGATTACAATAAACAAAGCTATAACATCATCTGTTTCTCAATATATTTCGTTTGAAAAACTAAAAGATGATAATTCACTTTTATCTTTTTATACTGGTTTGCCAAATGCAAATTTATTTTTGTGGTATTTATCATTGTTTAAAGATTGTGTAAAACCAATGAAAAATATACCAATGGAAGACCATTTATCGCTAATATTAATGAAAATCAAACTTGGATTTTTAAATAAAGACTTGAGCTTTAGATTTGGTTTTTCTGAGCCAACAGTCACTAGAATATATAGATCTTGGCTTCCAATTATTGCTGAAAATGTTAAGTTTTTAATTGTTTGGCCAGAAAAGCATGTTTTGCGAAGAAATTTGCCAACAAGTTTTCGCAAAAAGTTCTATAATTGTGTTGCAATAATTGATTGCATGGAAATACTCATTGAAAGACCTTTTAGTCTTCATGCTCGAGCTCAAACTTGGTCAAATTATAAAAACAACAACACAATTAAATATCTCATTGGTATAACTCCATCAGGTGCTGTAAGTTTTTTATCCCGTGGATGGGGTGGTAGAGTTTCAGATAAAGAAATTACAATTAAATCTGGATTTTTAGAAAAAATAACCCATGGAGATTATGTACTTGCTGATAGAGGATTTACACTTGTTGAAGAATTTGCTACAAAAGGTGGGATTTTAAAATTACCAAAGTTTACCAAAGGAAAAAAGCAGATGTCTTCTGCTGAAGTTGATGAATCACGTCAAATTGCACATGTAAGAATCCATGTTGAAAGGGTAATTGGACAGTTAAGAAAATTTCGAATTCTTCAGAACATTATCCCATTAACTCAAGTTGATTTACTTGATGATGTTATGGTAACAATAACTTCATTAGTAAATATTAACAGTAGTGTTGTTCCTCTAAGCTCATAGGAGTAAAAAACCTTTTTATTTTAACTTTATTTTGTATTATCTTACATTTGGATTGTCTCAAGTACTCTCGAGTCCTTAATACAAGGGGAAGGGGGTGGTTTGTCAAGATCTAATGAAAGTAGGGGGTGAGAATTTATACTAAAAGTTTTATTATTTATTAGTTACTAGTATATATTTTGTATAATATTATAAGGCCGATTTTCACTGAATTATTTTTTTTAGTTTCGATAGTTTTAGAAACTTTTTGTTGATAACAAGTGAAAATTAATAAACAGAGTGGTCTTAATAAGCTTAAGGTAAAGTTTTCAAAAATTTAATAGAAATCCCCCCTACCCTTCTAATAAAGACTCGAGAGTAGTAAATTTTATATTACTAAATAATTGTTAACAGTTTATTGATTTTTTATTTCTGAAAAAAGTGCCAAAATGTCGTTGACAAAGTAAGATATTTAATAAATATAATATATCCTTTAGTTTATTTATATGCATTCCTTGCAGAACCATTTACCTTTAGGGCCATTTTTTATTTCAATACAACTGTAATGAAACCATCCTATTTTGCAGTTTTTTCCGTCGCATCCAATCATTGGTGTAAAACTTGGACGTTTGCAAATGCAGTATGTTTGATCGCTCAAAAGGTTGTTAGGATCATTTTTTCTAGACACTGTTTCAGGTAGTAAAAATTTAAAAAATATTGTTGTCAACTTTGTTTCCAGTTTTTCACAAAAGACCCTATCAATCGGAACATTAATTAACATTGTATCATTTTCATTTTTTCCTTCGGTCCAAATGTAAAAATGGCAGTATGTAGTATTAGTAATATATATTTCTTGCTGCACTTGAAAGTAATACTGGTGTGTTTTCTTTACTGTATTGTCAAAATTTACAGGAAAATCCGTATCTGTTTTCCAATTTTCTAACCCATTTCTATACTTATATGGGCACTTAATTTCCACTACACCGGAACCATGACAATCACAACACACCATACTATCAGGTGAAGCACCAAGACATGGCTTTTTGTGAAGAACATGCAATCCAGTTTCTGTAACAACTATATTTGTATGTGTTTTTGCGACAAATTGCTTGTAAGAATTTATTGCTACAGTCTCCATTTTCTTACCATAACTCGTAGGTTTTGTAATGAATTCTGCGTTGTATTGCATCACTGTGTTTATAAACGACTTAGGGTATTTATCAACTTTTATGTTGTACGCAGTTTTTGATAACGATGCTGTTATTCTACCTGCCCTGTGCAACTTCCAGATTCTACTAGCGCTTTGAATATTTGTAACTTTAAGTAAATTGCTGTACATGTTAACACTTTGAGTGATTTTGTACTCCTCGTATGATTCTGCGCAATATTTTGTTAAGGTGGAATCATCTAAATTAATTGATGCAGGCAAATATAGTGAAGTAAGTGGTTCCGGCAAATTATATTCATTGTAACTGTCATCCTCCTCCGCAGTATCGGTATCACTACAATGTTCTTTGCTTTCATTTTTAATGTCTACAGACTGAAGAAAAGCATTCTTATAAAATTTTTTTAGTTCTAGCAACTTTTTTTTTTTACTATCTGAAGTTGGTGTAGGATCCTTAAAGCTGTAAGGTCTTTCATCCTGTGAGTTTTCATTGTCACTAATATTTGGAAGAGTTTCACGCTTCTTTGGTCGCGGAAAGTTTATTTTTTTTAGTGGGGCTGGGGTTGCTGATTTGCGTGATTTTTTCCAACTGCAGAATGTGCTTGTGCAAGATATTTTATTTAAACCGAGCTGTGCACACGCAACAAGCTTAAACAACAAAGCACCGATGTGACTACACACAGAGCCCAATCTATAGTTTCAAAAATGTATAACCAATTAAATTTCTTAAAATACTTGTTTAAAATAAAATTAAAATTAAATTATTTAATTAATGTACATAATCTGCCATGCATGTGCAATTTGCCGTTAAAATCCACCCATTAACTTTATTTATTGCAACCCACACTTCGTAACATTTCTGCTTCTTTCCTTGTCTTTGACTTGGAAGCACCTTTAATAAATTAAAAGTTGAATAAATAAGTAAAAACGTATATCATTTTACATTTTACTCAAAATAAATTTTATGGTTTTAACTTTTCAAACACTTTTTTTTTGCACTTTGACTGTGAACTTTACTTTGTAATATGCAAAATTACCTCAGATTTAATGAAACAAAATTCATTCGTTTCTTCAATTAAATTATAGTATACATCTTAAACATGCCCACAAATGTAAAAGTTGTACGATTCCAATGATTTATAGGCTTTCATTGAATCGTGTGTAAAGTTACTTGGGGAGTTAATAAGGTAATTGTACATGTCACCCCATGTAATGTCGGGCATCATTGAAACGTCGTTTTTCCAATTTTCAAGTACGAAAGGGTCAGGGAGTAACATTCCATTTGACAAAGTTAATTTTTTTTATATGCATCTTTATTGTTTTCTTCTAATGTTAAAAAGTAATCAGATTCACTCCACATTTTCTTTTGCGTGTTTTCTTTCTATCCTGCCAGTGTCCTTTGCGTCCGAAAAAATGTAAACGCGCGACGTCACTTTGAAATTCATCTATAGAATGCTCAAGCGCTTAAAAATCTTTAAGATATCAAAAATTATCAACAAATTAGCCAGGACCAGAAAAATTTAACTAAATATAATACCACAAAAAACAATTTTATAGTTTAAAAGGCATCAAGTTTGCACTCCAAACTATATATGTTTCAAAAGATAAATTCATAGGCATTAATATCAAATGACTTTTGCAAAAAAAAAAATTAATCAAAGATCAAATACTCTAAAAAAACTGTCAACTTAAGGGTTGTTCTCAAATTGTCACTAAATTTTTGACCATTTTTTAGTGTGTGTGTGTTTATATATATATATATATATATATATATATATATATATATATATATATATATATATATATATATATATATATATATATATATATATATATATATATATATATAAACACACACACACACACACACACATAGTTTAATTGGCTTAGTATTGCATAAACTATACTTAATGTTTTTTGCTTTGTTTATTTAGGAATAATGATTTCCGAAATTTTTTGCAGTTAGCTGTAATAGTATAAAGTGTTTGTTTTAATATAAAAAAATTTGTTGCTGTCATTTTTAATTTTTAGGCCTGTGCAGATTTTTTAGAACTTGCAAAAACTTATGAGAAAAAATTTTCTCGTTTAATAAATGTTGAGCGAGGCAAAAGATTGCGATTAGAGGAGACTGTTGAAACATTGGCTAAGCAACATATACAGTTAGAGAGAGCTTGTGAAATAGAAAAGGTGAAAGAAAGTTACAAATCAGTTGCCCATTTAGAAAATCCAGAAAATCCTAATATACTACCATTAGGAGTTAGTTCCCGTGACGAAGGATCAGAAGAAGAGGACGATCATTTTGAAGACGCAATATCTGATTTGCCAGAACATTTTTCTACAAACAATGAAACAAATTTTATGACTGAAAATTTTGAGGAGGATTCCTTGTCTGCTAATGACAATTCGTCTGTAGATTTAACTTTACAACAACCAAAATATTTCATGGACACAGAAATTAAACGAGCTCACTCTGATCAAGCTATTAGCGATGTTAAACCAAGTGGTCATAAGAGATGGTTATCTGAAGATGTTACTGCTGGATCATTTGGAGCAGTATGTTAAATTGTTGTATTTAAAATTTCTAATTTTTATTTCATTTATTAATTATTACTATTATTTAATTTTTAGTTAAAATTTTATAGTGCAATAATTATTTTTTGTTTTTACAAAGTGTTTAAATTTATTATTTTATCATATTTATTCTAATATTAAATAAGTTTATTATTTCATCATTAAATAAATTTATTTTTGTAATTGTTTTATATTTATGCTTTGTTTTTTGATTGCCTTGTTTTACTTTTACTGTTTTTAATTTTTTTAATTTGCTTTTAATGCTTTTTTTTTTTTTGTTAACATGCTTTTAGTTTTTTTTTCTTTTTCTTTTTTTTTTTCTTTTTATTACTTTTAACTTTTTAATTTTTAACTTTTATTTTAGTTGGAAGTTAATAAAGGCAAATATCGAACACATATTAAGAACCGTCCAAATGTTAACTTGAATCTCTGGAGTATTATGAAAAATTGCATCGGAAAAGAACTAACAAAGATTCCAATGCCGGTAAATTTTTAACTTTTTACTTTATAGTGGGTCAGTAATTACCTAAACTCCTCAAAAAAAAAAAAAAAAATTAAAACTGCATTAATATATTAACCTAAAATGTAAACTGCATTAGTCGATAGACTTTTTAAGATTTTTTAATTGTTTTTTATGCATCACATGGGTTGTGCTTAAAAAACATTTTTAGTCAGTATATTAGTTTAGAGTAGTTTTTGTTTGTGCATTAGCTCATAAAACTAATAAATTTGTTCTTAAATTTAAATAACGTTTTATGTGAAAGTGAATTTAATTCCTTAAAGAATTATGTTATTAATTAATGGTTTATTGTGGTTAAGCAGATAAACAGGTAAAAAATTTATAAGGTAAAAATGAGATGGTTTTCAAAATTTTTAAATGGATTGAGTTTTATCTTCAATATTGTTTTATCTTTTTATTTTAAAGTTTTCAGATTTCGGAAGGATCAGTATTCAGAAATGCTAACCTAACTGATGGTCTAAAAGTGTTTGAGGTCCAGAAAAAATCGCCGACTTTGTTTCTATGTTTTATAATAAGCCCTTTGTGTCAAATTTTTTTTTGCTGATATGATGCCGACTTCTATAACAATATTAGGATTTGTGATGACATAATGTATTTAGAATATGATTAGTGAACATAAGGTATTTAGAATATGAATAGTACATATAAGATATTTAGAATATGATTGTTGGATAGAGAAATAATTATTAACAGCTTTCATAGCAATATGGAGCTGTCACAATTTTCTCCTATAAAGCAAAAGTTAAAAGTGTTGTGGCAATGAACATGTTAAGAGTTTGATTTAGGGATTTAAATTAGTTAATTAATTTTAATTGAATTTAGTTGCATTAGTATTTATTCTTAACTTTATCCATGCTTTTACCCATATATGGATATGGATATATGTGTATGTGAATATATGTATTATTTTCTTATTAGTTTGTGATTTACTTCACTTTATTAATATTATTAGTTTTTTAGTTTCTTATTAGTTTGTACTTCACTTTATACTTACGTTTGTTATGGTACTCTATGCTACTTTATGTTACTGTAGCTTATTTAAACAAAGTATTACTTGGTTAAAGAATCAGTTGATTACAGGTTCTTGTGTTTTAAATATTTTTATCATATATTTACCAATTGTTATAATATTTGTGCAGTTGAATTGCTCTTAATGATTAAATTTCTACCACGAAAGGAATTTTAAAGTACAAAGGATTTCAGGTTAAGTGCAATATTTAGCTGACATCACAAGAGTGCTGTACTTACTGATAAATTATGTAACACAAAGTTTATTTAAAGAACAGAAATAAGATATCTAATGCTCTTTTACGCTGCAGTTTTAATTAAACTTAATGCTCTATTTTGATATTTCATTTAAAATAAGGCTCTGCAAGGAAAAATGTTTAATTTCTTCTGTTTTGTTTTGTTATTACTGAAAGTTGTGTAATTGTTAGCATTGTGTTGATTGTTAGCGATGTGATGATTGTTAGCATTGTAATGATCCCTTAAACAATGTCAGCAAAATTTTGCTTTTAATTGTTTGCATCCTATTACAAAAATGTTTATTAATTAATTAAGTTATGATTAATTAATTAGTTAAAAAATCATTTCTTTTTTTAGAGTTTGAGACAATATTATTATTTTTATGCATTTAGCTGTCGTATATAAGGTGTGTTTTGCTCTCTTATATAAGGTTTGTTTTAGTGTTGTTTTAGTGTTGTTTGGACTTAAACACTGTTGGAGGAATCAGCAGCACTTTCTTTAATGGAAATGATAGTATCAGGATTTTTTTCTTAGCTTCACTTAATTTAAAGACAGCTCTTACATGCATAGGAGAACATAAAATTTGGTCTGAAAACTTATTCTTTTTTAAGACTGATGTTCCATGTATGTACTATGTTTCTAATTTAACATAGCATTTATTTTTATTGTGACAGTTTTGAACATTTCTGTTGCTGATTTAGCACAGCATTTGCTAAATCATTTTTTTGGAAAGCTTTAGTGTTAAAACTATTTTTTAATAACTCTTCTGTTTTCATTATATATAGCTTGTTCGTATTACGTCTTCTGTTAGCATATAATTAAAAATAAGTAACACTTTGGTGTTTCTTATTTTTAATTGCTTTAATAAAAACCTTGACTTGTTTTAAAAAATGTTTAATATTTTTCAACATATTTTTTTAAATAATATATTACTTCTCTACATGTGTTTTCTGATTTTAAATAATATTAAAATAAATTTTCTGATCTTAAATAATATTAAAATAACCATAAACATAAATAAACAGTTTTACCTATAAAAAAATCCTCTATAAAGTAAACTTTAAACCTTATTAACATTGCCATGCTTGTTATGAATGAATTTAAAATGAAAAAATTAAAAAAAATTAAAAAATTTTTTTTAGATTTTTTTTTGTGGGCTGAGTTTTTCTGAGAAAAACTCAGCTCACAAAATGCCACCTAGATTTTGCCGGGTGAGTTTCTGCTTGTTTGTTTTTGGTTTTGCAGGCTGTTTCTTTTAGCATATGTTGCGTTATTGCAACTCATATTTAGCAATGTGTTGCGGTATCCTTCTAGGGGTAAAAGAGTATGTGTATATGTACAACTTATATTTAGCAATGTGTTGCTTCTCTTTATTGTGTTCACTATTTTCTTACTCTAGATAGAGTTGACATCTTGTTCTAATTGTATGCAGTTGTTTGCATATTTATTGAGTTATATAAGAAAAAAGAATATGACATGATTGTTAACAGATTATTAACAAAATAACTACGAATGAAGGTGTCACAACTTAAATAAAAGATTTATTATATTTACCATGCCAGCTGTTTTATGTAAATTATGTTTTATGTTAATGATTTTTTATGTAGATGTTTTATGTAGTTGCAATATAATATAGATGATATTTTATGAAATGTGAATGCAATAAAATATAAATGTTTTATTTAGATGCAATAAAATGTAAATGTTTTATGTAGATGCAATAAAACATAGATGATGTTTTATGTAGATGCAATAAAACATAGATGATGTTTTATGTAGATACAATAAAACATAGATGATGTTTTATGTAGATGCAATAAAACATAGATGATGTTTTATGTGGATACAATAAAACATAGATGATGTTTTATGTAGAGACAATAAAACATAGATGATGTTTTATGTAAACATGGATGATGTTTTATGTAGATGCATCAAAACATAGATGATATTTTATGAAATCTAGGTGCAATAAAATATAGATGATTTATGTAGATGCAATAAAACAAAGATAATGAGACAGATAGAACTTAGATAATATAAGTTAACTTAAATTGGAAGTAATGAAAAGGAAGAATGGGGAGAGGAATAAACTAAAGTTTATTATTCTCTAATTTTTTTTGTTTAATTTTTGTTTGTATTTCTAGTTTTTTTTTGTATTTTTTTTTTTTGTATTAATTTGATTTGATTATTTTTATTTTACAAAATGAATGGATGAATTAATATCCATTTGTTAAACTTATTTAGATATCACTAAGTCAATTTTGAAATTATTTTAGGTCAACTTTAATGAACCTCTCTCAATGACACAACGTTTAACTGAAGAACTTGAATACTCAGATTTATTGGACAGGGCAGCTTGTTGTGAAAATTCTCTCGAGCAGATCTGCTACATTGCTGCTTTCTCTATTTCTTGTTACGCATCCACTGCTGTTCGAACTGGTAAGCCATTTAACCCTCTGTTAGGAGAAACTTACGAATGTGATCGCAATGAAGACTTGGGTTGGCAATCTCTTGCTGAGCAGGTATTTTTGTTGTAATAGTTGTTCAGTATAAATTGTGCTGTTTAATAGTTTTATATTTATATATTCTTCTATATTTGACTATATTACTCATCAAGGATTGTCACTAACAGTATGTTCATCTCATTTGTTTTAATTAACTAAATAAATAAAAAGTATTTCCCAATAATAGTAGCTTTATATTTTTAGTTATAATATATTTATGTATATTATACTTGTATATAATATGTTAATAATTATTTAACCCAAAATTAGGTCAGAAATCAAACTTTTGGAAATAATTTTTATATTAAGTTATCATCAGCTAGTTTAAATTTAAAATAAAAAATAGATAATATTAAAAGTTTTTTTTAATACATTCACCACCTCAAGGTTCAGGCGATTTATTTTATCCTCTCTTAACTTTATGCCTAATTAAACTTTAGCCTTAGTCTAACTTTATCTCAACTCAATCTCAAAATAATGGCACTGCATAGAGAAACAAGTTGGGTACGACACTACCTAGGAGATGTTTGATCTTGGCAATCATATTGCATATTTTCCACTTGCATTAAGTGGAAAAAGTTCAAGTTTATTTTAAAAAGTTGTTATAAACATTAAAAAAGATTTAATTTTGAAAAGATGTTTTAATTACTTGTTTTAATTTTAAAAAAAACAAACATAGTTTGTAGTATCCTTGCAATAAAAGTTATTAGTTTCCTCCTATATATACTATTTTTTAGATATTGTTCAAGACAAGCCCAGATCTAACTATTTTTAATATTGTAACCAGTTTTTTATGTATGAGGGTGGTAAAAAGAAAGTGTGGATAGAAAAAATAGGAAGTTGCTAAAAAGGTTGTTAAATTTAGTAAATAAAAAAAAAAAATTCTTTCATTAATTTAGATTTTCATTCAGATTCATTCATTAAAATTTTTCAAAAAAAAGTTATGGACTGTTACTTTGTTAACTTTTGTTTAAACAACTTGCTGCCTCAATGTTTAAGCGATAAAAAACTTGCTACTTTCTGAAAATATTATTACTAGTTTGTTAAATAATGACAATAATTGTAATCAAGGTAACATAACAAGGAGACAACAGAAGTAACATACAATATGGTAATGAGACAACAGAGCTAACAATCAACATAGAGAGGAGATAACAGAGTTAGTACCAATAACATGGCAATGAGGCAATAGTAGACAACATAGCAAGATAAATCTAATTGTTTTTAAACTCTTGAGGAATATATTGAGATAATATTGAGAACACTTAAGGACACATGAAAGTTGTTATCTTTCAATATAAGGCTAAGCATTTTTTTTTCCATCAGTATTACTTCATCAGTATTTATAAATTCTAGACTTAAAAAATTGATACTAAAAATTTTTCTTTATATTTAAGCTAATTTAGTAACTTGATTAAATCTTTTTAAAGAGGTGGTAAGCTACAATGAGTTACAGTGGGCAAGTTTGTTTAGATCAAGATGTTATTTATAATAGTATGGCAGAGATTGTTATGTGGATCATATTGTTGAATTCGATTCCAGATCATTTTTAAGGGAGTGATTTAAAATAATTATTAGGTTTCCCAATATAAACCATATTCTGAAATAGTATTGTGTATTCTCTGAAAAACATTAAATTGTTAGCAATTTAAAGTTAGTAAAAAATTAATAAATTGCTTTGAGTCAAGCATTTATTTACTCACTGAGTCAAGCATTTATTTGCTCTAGTACATATCCATACAATTATTACCTTAAACAAAAAAATGTATAAAGTTTACAAACCATCTTGTAAGAAATACAGTTTTATGGAAAAAATTAAAACAATGATAAAAGGATAAATTTAAAAGAATTTAATGCAAAAATTAAAATAAGTTTATCAAAGTTATTATCAGAATATAAAAAATAAAATCACTTTTTTTTTTCTTGGCAAATTTTTAAATTATGTTAATTGTTGCTTTTTTGCAGCCTTATTTGTCAAGGATCATGTTTTGGAGTTATAGAGTTGAGAGAAGGTTAAACAACTAAAAGTAGCCTCCTCAACTGTAGTGGTCTTCACGGCCTTGGGGATTTTATAAAGATTTTTAAATTTGATGGGTGGATTGGTGCCTACCAACATTAAATCTTACAATTGTATTTTTAGTGGGAGGATTAGTGGGAAGGTTAGGTAAATAAAAGAATTAAACTTGATTATTGTTTGTTACTTCATTTTTTCGAACTTTTAATTGGTAAACATGATATTATTTTTATAGGTTAGCCATCATCCTCCATCATTGGCACATCACGCTGAAGGTCGTGGATGGACTCTGTGGCAAAATTTTACTATGAGTAGCAAATTTAGGGGTAAATATTTGCTGGTATCACCAATAGGTACTGCTCACTGCAAATTCGCTAAGTCTGGCAATCACTACACATGGAAGAAAGTAACAACAACTGTTAACAATATTATAGTGGGAAAACTTTGGATTGATCAGGTTTAAGGCAATTTTTTGAACCTAATTTGTAAACCTAAGCCTTTCAGATTCATAAATATTTTACAGAATTTGCATAGAGGCACATTAGTTTTGCTAAACCCACTTAAAACTTATGTAAAAAATAGAAACTGTATTTTTAAAGTAGAGTCATTATAATAGTTAGTTCTAGATGAATGATAAGAATTTTTATATCTAGAATAGTCTGACCATATATATAGAGGCCTTTTGATGAATAAAAAAATGTTGAACACGTTTACATAACAAAATTTATGATTTCATAATATTCTTTTTATTTGCTTTTCATAATTATATTCATTAACTTTTTTGAACTACCACAATTTATTAAACACAAAACTAGTTAAATTAGACAGTCAAAACAATGTAGAAATGTTATTATGTAAATTATTGTGTTATTATTAATGTTATTGAATATTTACTAAGATTACGGTTTTTTTAAATATAATTTTTTTTTTTTCTTGACATTTAATATAATCATGTTTTATATTCAACTAAATGAATATAAAAGATTTTGTTTCATTTCTTGAATACATATAAGGAGTTTTGCAAATAACATTTATATAATAAACTAAAAACTGTTAAAACTGTTAAAAAACAATAAAAATATTGCAAGAATAAAAACCAAACAATAGTTAACTTTTTTACCAGCAGTTTTATATATATATATATATATATATATATATATATATATATATATATATATATATATATATATATATATATATATATATATATATATATATATATATATATATATATATATATATATATATATATATTTCATGCTTGTTTATTACAATGTGTCATCAGCACTTGCGTTATTTAAACAATTTTTTTTGTTCACTTTGTGCATAATTTAATGTTACAAGTAATTTCATTTCTAAAATAAAAAGGTGAAATAAAAGTCTTATAGGTTTGAATGATAGATTTAATAGAATGATCAAGATAAAAGCATTATATGATTGAATATGAGAAGTCTAAGCATTACATGATTAAATATGAGAAATATATTAAGTTTATGGGCTTGCTAGTTTTTAAGATACATGCTTTTAAATAAACACTGTGTCTGTCATGTGATAAAATCAAAGATTATATTGAAACTATTTTTTTAAGAGTCTAGCTTAGTTAAAAGTGAAGTTTTTTAAACTAATGCTTTATTGTCAGTTGTTGCAGTATCTCCATTACCTAAACAAATGTAACTTATAAAACATTGTCTAAATAAATATTCATATGCTTGCTAGATTATTTTGCTTAATTGAATTTTTTTTTTTTTAATTTTTTAATTTTTGTTTATTCATGCTGTATTAAAACAACAGCTAATTTTTTTCTTGTAAAGCTTTTACCAATTGAGTTTCGATTCATGACAAAATATTTTATATTGGGTTGATATCTGGTGATCTAGGGCACAAAGGCAGCAAATTGATCTTCTTTGTTCCTAACAAGTTTGTTATACTGTGTGCTGTGTGTGCTGGAGCCCCGCCCTCCTGGAAGATGTATTATTTGTTTCTGTTGTACAATTGCCTTGTCGATAGAATCAAATGTGTTTTAAGTGCATTTTTGTAGGTATATTGGTTGATATGACCATTACACAACTCATAAAAACCAAGGCCTTTGTGGGAAAAACATCCCCATATGCTTACTGAGCCTCCACCACCTTGTTGTTTCTCTTTGAAATAGAGCTCTAAATATTTCTCAGTTGCAAAACTTTTAATGGATATTCTTCCTTTGCGGTTCACAACCTGAAAATTTGACTCTCCTAATCACTTTTACCCAATCTTTAACTGCCCAATGCAAATGTTCTTTGCACCATTTTCATTTTTAGCGTTGTTCCATGATTGACAAGATAGCCTTTCTTATTTCAATGTAAGACCCAATACCTTTTTTGCTAATGTTCTAACAAGTTCTTTGCTTAAATTTTGATTAGATTTACCTGTTAGCTCCCAGGTTTTCACTTTTTTTTGCATGCAAAATTCAGAAACACCCATAAGTTTACTAATTTCAACGTTGTTATGATTCTTTGATTTAACCAGTTCAATAATTTGCCATTTGATGCAAATCTCTGACACTGCTTTTCTACCCATTTGTAAGTAAATTGAAATTTAAAATATTGCAGTTATTCTTTAGATAATTTTTTGCAGTTAAAATATTTTTTAATAATTTTGAAATAATTTTTTTTTAAGAGAAAAAAGAAAGAATTTAAGAATCATGAGTACTCTTTATATTTATAATTTATAACAGTAATTAAGTATAATAATAAGTTATCAAGTGTAAATAATGGATAATTAATTAACTCGAATAAACTTTAATTAACTCGATTAAACTTTTATGTCATCAGTAAAATACATTGTTTTATGTTTAATTAGTTTTACCGAAGTAGTGCAGTATGTGTGAATTTTTTTTGTCTATTTTACTGATACAAACATAAATAGCAAAGCACAAAAAAAATTAAATTTAAAATATGTATCCTTTAAACTTTAATGTTAGAAAAAACTGGCGCATAGTTACCAAAAACTCGGATTAATAATCTCAAACTTTTGTGCATAGCTGTATATATATATATATATATATATATATATATATATATATATATATATATATATATATATATATATATATATATATATATATATATATATATATATATATATATATATAGTATATATATTACTGTTACCCGCAGTATCAGGAATTAGCTAAATGCTAATATTTATAATATTATATTGCGACTTAAAGTTTCATGTGTTACCACAATCATCAGGCAAGTAGTCAAAAGTTAATTTTGCTACAATATATATATATATATATATATATATATATATATATATATATATATATATATATATATATATATATATATATATTTACTACAACTGGATATGTCTGATATTTCTTTTACTCACTCACTTATTTTCATTTTAATATATTTTTTATTATATACCTATTACTATTTACTACAAAATTCTTAATTTTGTAGTAAATATTATTATGTATACAAATTTTTTTAAATATATTAAATTTATTTCTTAACAGGTGTATGTACAATGTGGTGTCTTTTATTCTTAAACCGATTCTCCCTTATCACAAATAGGTTTGTTCTGAATTTAAAAAATTTTTCGATTTTTTTTTCCATTGCAACAAACAGCAAAATAACTAAACTGTTGCTAATCCAGGTTTTAAATTACTGTTTGTTGGTTTTTTACATAGATAAATATAATTCTATACATAGATAAAGATAAAGGGTTCAGTATAGGAGATTACTATAGACAAAGATTTAAAATTTAGTAAAAATTGTAAAAGTAGAAAAATAGTAAAAATTAAATGTGGAGTAATTAGAAGTAGTAAATGCAGACACTTGTCTTATGATTTTGGTCTTTAATATAATTTAAACACCTGCACAATCACAGTGAAGTCCTAAAGGCTTAATAAATTACAAAGAAGGAAACTTAAAAATACATTGACATAAATAGCATTGGGTTAAGCAACAACTAAGATTCAAATATTCCTCACAAAAAATATATTTTTGCCGAAATTCACAGAATTTATCAGCCATAAATCTATTATGATATGTAGATTTAAGGGTAATTAATTAATGACACTAATTTAAAAATTGAAGTTTTAGAAAATTGATCTTAAAAAAAATTTATTTGCTTTAAATTTCTACTTTCAGATAGTTATAACTAGCTGTCTGGACCTTTAAATAAGGTCTTAGTAAGTCAGTTTAACACCAACATTTTCTATCCCTATTTACTTCAATATTTTTTACATAATAAAAGTATCTTTAACATAGATGACAGTTGTGTAACATTTCTCCTGGTGTTATTAAAAACTTAAGGCTATATAATAAAATAAAATTTAGGAAATTAAGAAATTTATATAATAAAATTAAGTTAAGGTAATTCGGAACTTTACATAATAAAATAAATTTAAGGAAATTAAGAAATTTAAGTCTATAACAAAATTCTAACTCTCATTAAGACTATATTTATTTAAAAAGCAAGAATGGACACATAAATTGGGTCACAGAGACCTAGTTTTGTCAAATAGTTTAGCTCTATCTGTTTGACATTTTTTATAGAAACTTTTTTGTAATAAACTCATAAAATCTTTCAATTAACTGTTTATTATGCTGGTTTTGGTGAATTTTTAAATTATTATACCTGTTATTTGTGCCTAAAAAATGGCACAAAAACTTCACATAATACAAATGGAAACCATCTTGATCATAATCACCAAAGTAATAAAGTATAAATGGTGCTCATTCAAATATAATAGAAATATTTAAAAAAAAGACTAAGCAAAAATGGCCAATATAATCCATATAAAATAATAATTCCAAAAAGAAAAAATATACAATTGTATGTGAGAAACTCTTTCTTGAGATAAAATAAAAATATTTAACTTAAAAAAAAATTACAAAAAAGTTTTTGTTTACATAAAAAAGTATCAAGAGTTACATAAAAAAATTCTAACATTGTTTCATTATTATATATGATATAAAAATTATCAAAACTTCGTTTTGGCTTTTAGAAACCAATAAACATTTAGAACATTTCTTAAATTCTGCTATGTATCTGCTATGTATCTGCTATGGAGCTTTCAAAAATGAGTCATAAGAGAAGAAATTTGTCCTAAAAATGAAGCAAAATTATTATTTAAAACACTTATTTCACATTAATGTGTTGTGTACTCTGTTTACTTATTTGAAAACTCAAAAATATGACTAAATTAATAACAAAAAAAAATATTTATATGTAAGATTGTAAAGTTGAAAATATTATGATCAAAAATAAAACAATTAAATTTTCTTTTCAAGATTTTTGCGGAAATGTTTGCCAAAAGTATATAATTAGTTTAGTTAGAGGTATATTAATTTGTTTAATTAGTAGTTAGTAATTATTGTTACTGTTATTATTCTTATTAGTATGTGGGTATATATATATATATATATATATATATATATATATATATATATATATATATAT